TCAAGAACCCAAAACAAGCTGTGGGTTGTTAACCTTTAGTTAAATTATATTASATAAAGGACATGTATGATATATAATAAAAGAACAACTAGTTGTTTCACTCACTTGCTTGGTGACTTGCCAGACACAGTCAATAAATTGAAGGAAGACAGGTGATCTCTGGTCATCAGTATAGTTCTTGTCTCCATGACCATAACGCTGAAGTGAACAACATTCATTACAATAACACATTGACTTATTTGTTATGATCAATTTTTATAACTACAGTTTACTATTAAAATCACTCACTAACTGACCTGGGTAAACTTGTGACCAAAAGACAGCCATTCCTTCTCAATGAGTACCTAACAAAGTTTTGAAGAAGTACTAATGTCAATGTCTGAACTGAATTGATATGACAAATAAGGTGCAAACTTTGGGTGAAATGTTACATGATTCACACCAATTTTGACATCACACTTTCATTATCAGCACTCAGTATCAYGTTTGAAAATCATTTTCAAACCATTTTATGGACAACTATTTAATTTCTCAAATTATTGAAATCATTTTCTAAAATCAGGGTTTCCAGGGGTCAGGGAAAAGTCTGTTTAGTCAGGGAAATTGCAATTTTCACCTAAAGTCAGGGAAAAGTCAGGGAATTTTTATTTTCAAAATGGCTGGGAACCCTGAAAATACRATATGCATGCAGATCTTTTTAAAAGGCATGACTAAATTACTACTTCCCAAAGCTCACCATTCTGATAATATATTCATTTTACCTCAAATCCACTTATTGTTCTGTAGTAAGGGTCTAACAACAGCATAGCAAGTGCAGTCAACTACATGCAAAGAAAATGTAGAAAATATGTATGCAACCTTTGGCAAAACTAGGTAACCATTTCATACAGCTCTAGACCAAAGCACTCTATACATGGTTATACAGTACTTCTACACAGGGCTATACAGTTCAATATACAGTACAGCTCTATACAGCACCGTGCAGCTCTCAATATACCAGGCCTATACATGACTATACAGGTCTATAGAGGGCTATTCATGTCTATACAGCTCTCAATATATCAGGCCTATACATGACTATACAGGTCCATAGAGGGCTATGCATGTCTATACAGCTCTCAATATATCAGGCCTATACTCATGACTACACAGGTCTATAGAGGGCTGCACAGACTATGTTTAATGCAGATTTACAGTTGGAAAATAAGTAATAACCAAATTATAAGCTTAAGTATTATATGGTAAATTAATGTTTTAACAACTAATATTCATTTTCTCTGTCTATCAATCCATCGATTTACCCACTAACAAAGACAGACAGAAAAACGTATACTAGCTCTGTTTTTGGCAGTCTTGGAGAACTGTACTATTCATTCACTAACTAAATACTTGAATTGGCATCACATGTCAACCTACCTGTGATGTTCTATCCCATCCATCACTGCAGTGCACTACAACTGATGTCCTACATCTATCAACTGCATCAGCAATACGAACAGCCCCTGCTAATATGACCTAATCAGTTGAGATGTAAAGAAAGGATGAAGATTATAATGATCCATTTAGCCAACTACTACCAAATTATATTTTAACTATTTCATTACGGAACCCTGCTTGTCTTTTTATTTTATCGATTTTGCCAATTTAGGTCAAGCTCCCCTCAAGCCCACTGCTCAGTCATCATAGGAAGAGGAAGAAAACAACCAGTCCTCATTTTTCAAGGTTATATCGCTAACAAATTATTGTCAAGCTAAATAAATAGTATATCTGGACCAGTGGGAGACTTACCTTGATGTAGTCTAGCCAGTGAGTGTTTTCTAGATTAGTCAGCCAATGAGCATCATCAATTGTTGGAAAGCAAATGTCTTTGAGCTTTCTAAGACTGTATGACAAAAAAGTCCAATATTATAATAAATCTTGAAAGTTATTACTGATTATTACTATTAAACTGGTTATTATGGTCTTAAAAAAACGATACGTGAGATGACATGATAATTGAAACAGGAACTCCGTGCAATAAATTATATCTTTTATCATAAACAGGGTCTACAAATTTGAGTTTTTTTATCATAAACAGGGTACCCCTTTCAGAATCTCAGCGGAACACCTCTACCCAAATTCTGGCAGAGTAACCCCCYGGGACCTAATCTCCCTATCAATTTAACTTATAGCAGGGACTGCCTATAGCTAGGAGGGGTGGTAGCTATAGGATCGTATCCTAGCTACTAGGATTACACATTTGTTCTAGCAAATCCTCCACCACTGCAATAAATTTGTACCCATTTTTTTGTGAGAGCCTACATAGCAGTTGATGTAATATATTCATAAAATACAATGAATCATATCTTTTGAATTCAATATAATACAATACAATACAATACAATAGAATTTCTGAATACATTAAAATACATCTACAAAGCTTTTCGCTGTGGTATCACAGTGTGGGACAATCACAACAGAGCTAGGCTCCAAACTAAGTGAAAGCCCAAAGATCAAATTAGAATTTAGAAGTTGATTTTTGAGGAGSGAGGAAAACCGGAGAACCCAGAGAAAAACCCTCAAAGCACAGGAGAGAACCAACAAACAACTCTTCTCACATCKAGATCGGCAGGACTCGAACTCGGGCCRCATTGGTGAGAGGCGACGCATTAACAGCGCACGCCACCAGTGCTTCCCCAGTGCTTTTACACAACTGATCATGCATGAGTGCTATATGTAGGTTCTCCCTTCCGAGGACAGAGTTAAGTTTGGATAATATCAGAAAGCCATTTCTGAAATTATATATTTAGCTTCCCAATTCAAAATTTGCTCCACGGTTCCTGTCATACCGGCCAACACCTACCTTTCTCTCATGACATGAATATTTGCTATATCCAAGAAAATGACCTCAGTGTTCTGGTAGTTTTCCTCTGTTTCATATCCACCTCCTTTAGCCTGAATAACAATAAATTTAGAAAAAATATATATATATGACACATGATGGAAATATAAACAAGAAGCTCTGAGAGCATAGACTGGGTTGCCTGCAATATGCCCAGACTCAGAGCTGAACAAATAGTTGTTGTGCAAAAATTTGGGGTGACAAATAAGTAAAATTCTTTAACAGCATTTTGGAATTCTTATAGACATCTTTCTTGTTTTACTACAGTACTTGATTATTTCTAACCCTTCACTGAGCCTTGAATCTCAGTAGCAAACAAAAACGAACATGCCTAAACATTGAATTTATTGTGACACATGATACGCAGCCCTGCCCCCAATCAATCACTTTGGTAAACTAGTGATAATGATTGACAACCAAGGGCGGATCCAGCCAAAATTTTAGGGGGGGCTAATTGAGTTTCTTCTGTCAACACAACGGAAAACATAAAAAAAGCATCTAATTCTTCAGTTTTGTTGTTGTTTTTTTCTGCTGACTGAAGGGGGCTCCCCCTTTGCCCCCCCCCGCTGGATCCGCCCTTGACAACTTTCACATGCTAAGTATCAGTATACACAGGATCCCTGTATCATATCCCTGCATGGCCTCTTGGGTAAAAAAAAWATAATTGGAGAAACAAGACACATTGTTAGACTGGGCTTCCACAGGCAACCCAGTAATGTTTGCAATGGTTATCTATTAAATCCCATTATCCTAGTACCTGGTTAGCAAGAGCATTGATTCTTGGCCGGGCATCCATTATAAGCAGCTTGTGGCACTGAGGATTCGCATCTAATATTGCCTTAAAATTAGCAAAAATTATAGTTTATTATTTTGTGAATAATGAAAAATGGATTGTGTTCAAATACCATGCAATCTGCCAACATAATCAATCAGCATTCACTATCATTATACCTAATATGATATTTCTGTTATAGAAATTATTTATCATTTGCCACTAGCTGAAAGAAAATCAGGAAAAAAATCCAAGTCCCTGACAGGAATCAAACCCATGACCTTCCAAATACCAGTCGGACGTTCTGACCACCGAGCTGCAGGAAAGACTCATCTTGAGTGGTCATTTATCACTATCAACTTCATCATAACCATCATGCATTACCAGCATTATCAACTGCAATTAAATACCTGAAAATACTTTTCATCATCTTTGTTCCTCGTTCTGTTCATGACTCCAGCAGTTGGTTGACTTGCTCTTGTTATTGAGGCATTATTGTTAGGATGAAGCCATGACAAAACCTAATACAAAACCAGTTTTATTACTTGAACAATGCTTTGTTACTTATGTTACCAACTACTGTGTGCTTTTTTTTCATTAAATAAGTAACATTCAATATGATCAAGACATTATCCTATCCTTACAGGAAGTCTGCCTCTGCTTCGAAACATTGCTACTTTCTTGATGTCTTCATCTGTCACTGACGATGGTACCCCTAGCTATAAGAGTAAGACAATATAATACAGAATGGTTTTCATGTGCTAAAGAATGGCAGAGGGGACCAAAGTTTTGGATAGTGAAAAACTCTGTCTAAGTGATACCCTGCCCGGGGGGTACTCTTGCCCGTTTAGGGTAGGGATGTGCCGCTGAACCCTGACCCCRTTCCAGAGTATATATTGCTGAAATTCATACCCTGTTCCAGAGCAAGATCACTGAAAATCATACCCTGTTCCAGTATTGCAAAAATGGATGCCCTGTTCTAGAGAGGAGAGAGCGTGATTTCATATACATGTACCCTGTCCCAGAGCAAGCACGGTTTTATATACCCTGTTCTAGAGAAGAATCACTGAAAACCATACCCTGTTTGGCAGCACATACCCGTATAGCGAATATAGGGCAGTACCCCCCCCCCCCCTTGGGAGTGTTACTTGGTTTCTGAATAAAGGAGTTGATTGATACTTACTATGGCAGGGTAGGTATCACATATCTCATACTTCTCATTAATCTTGGTTACATGCCAGCAATCAGTCGGCAACCCCTGAAAATTAAATATTATTAAAACACTCATTAATAATTCATAAGCTTATGGTCCAATTGGAGCCACCATACACGTCACGTRCATGAACCTTTATACCCGATAAAGTCCTCTTCATTAGTATTCAAGTGATTTTATATAAAGACACATGTGTCTTTATATAAAGACACATGTGATCTTTATATAAAGACCACTCCAATACTATGAGGATGACTTCATCAGGGATGAAGTATGCATCCAAGTTTAGATGAAGACATAGAGCTTCATCAAGGTCATAGTCAACCCTAATGATCTTTGACTAACGTGCCTGTCTTTGCCTTGGCACGCAATATCCAACGTGTGGGAGCTTCYATTGAATCTGGTTGCGCATGCCCRTGATGTCAAATCTCTATCAAAGTATAAAAATCCATGTTTGTGACATGTATGGTGGCTCCAGCTGAACCAAAATCTAATAAATTGTTCATGAGTGTTTTAAGCAGTTCAAAAAACTCGTAGATTGTGTTTTATCAGGTATAAAACACTCCTACTCGTTTTTTAAACACTACTTATATTAAAAGTTTGATACAATATATTATATCATAGTTTAAAGTGCCTATGACACCTAACTCAATATTGATCAGCATTGATTCTAAATAATGAAATAAAAAATTGAATTGAATAGTAAAATATTTTTATATGGTTTGAGTGATGCATCTTGGAGATATCAAGGTTTATACTCCCAATATGTTAAGGATGTGACATCAAAGGAGGCATTATTAAATATACCAAACGTTTCTGGGGCAGTAAAATATCCTGTATAAAACATAATTGTCTTACTTAGGATTTTTAAAAAAAGTTCTAGCAAAAAACATTTTCTCATAGTAATCAGTGTTTCAATTTCCATGTGATGGCAGATGATGTAACATCAAAAAAAAACATTTACTTCATCAATGAATGATATTTTTGTTTCTTTTATTTCTGTAAATTTTTGAAAGTTTGCACTTYGTACCACAGTTTTGCCTACTACCATGTTTTAATGGTTTATTTTAATACTTGATCTAGCAGAACATTATAAGTTCACACAAAGTGAGCTAAAAATAAAACATCTAGAGATTTTCTGCCATTTGATTGGATGCATATGGCGYCTAAAAATGATTGATTCCTTTGTTTCTACAGTGCTGTGATTGGATAGCTATGAAAAATTGTCAAAAAAAGTTTGAAGTGTTCATGGTTTGAGTGTCCGCACTGTAAAGCCTCGTAAAGCTCAGTCTCACTTACAGTAGTGACCACCCACAAAATCTTATTGACTAGCATTCCTGTCCTCAAATAATATTATTGACATGCTGTCTTCACCTTGTCAGAGCCTTTTTGGACTGCATGACAGTGACCTACAAATCTCACTATTTACAAAATTAGGTTATTAGACATTGAATATACATACAAGTCTTTCAAATTCAGCTTCAACATCAAACACCTCCCATCCATTAACTTCATATTCTTCTTTCAATGAGAATGCAAAAAAAGGCTGAAATAGAAATATTGTACATATTTTGAAATTATTCATTTGCTCTATAATTTAATTTTATAATAAATAATAATAATGATAATTCAAGGATGTAAGTAGAGCATAATYTTTATTGGGGAGGAGGGGAGGGGAGGACTAGTCCCCCTGGCTTCTACATCCATGAATCTACAGGTTCAGTGAGATGCTCCTTGAGGAGGTCTTTGTGTTAACTTGTTCCTAATCATCACCTTCACTATTATCACCGAATACTAGTTGTTTCTACCCATGTTATTTTATTGGTCATTTTGAKACACACTTTATGGTCATTTCAGTACATGTCTTATTTAAGTCATAACATAATAATATATTATGACAAAAAAAAAACATGAGATAACATTATATTACAAAGTAGTTTTGATGTTTTGAATATTGCTAACTGCAAGAAAGATCATCAAATTTTGCCAATATGATACAAATGATGGGCGATAACAAATRATCATTGAAAAGTTTTTCCGAATATCTCCCGAAAATACATCCGAATTTAAGATGTGAAATATTGGTTAGACCATGAAATGAATTAAATTTGGATTAATTTTGAACAGTATCTGATTTCCTACTTATGGAGGGACTTACTTACTTACGTCACTCAATGACATACAGTGTAGTGGTTACTGCTTTTTTCAGAAGCCAGTATAGCCACAAAAATGACATTAACATCATCTATAATCACCATAATCATCATATCACAGACTTACCTTTCCAGATGAAGTTGGGAATGCATAATTCTGAAAAGAGAAATGGGAAATGATTGCACAATGAATAATGTACTGTACTCCATATTAAATTCAAAAGAATTACAAGTAAACAGTGAAGACACTCAAACCATGAACACTTGACTTTATTCAGACTTAAATTTTTCTGAGGTTTTTACTGCTTCAAACACTCTAAGAATGATCAAAAGACAACTTATTTCTAAATGATTCACTCAAGGGATGCATGTTAAAAAAGGAGTAAAAAAGCATAAAGTGTTCATGGTTAGAGTGTCCTCACTGTAAAACGTCAATATTCATTCTCTACCGTAAGTTTGTCATAGACTAATCTTCTTGAATGATTTTCTTGTTTATGGGCAAACCTCAAGTTTCTCATATCCTGAAAACATGCAAAACAAATAGCTTCAAGCACTCTCTTGGGCCTGAGCCTACAACTCTCTATACTAACACAAAATATGTACTTCATAATGCACTTATTCTTCAATCATAAGAGGTGTGTTTACCTTGCAAGAGATCTCAAGACCATAAGCATTCTCTCCTCTACTTGTAGTGCCACCTATTTTCTCAATTCGAAAGATTGAGCACAAAGGGACTTCAACAAAGAATGGAGGATCCTAAAAAAACATACTTAGAATGTTAATTATAGATATATGCTGGTGTCTTATTAAAGCCATGGACACATGGCAAAGCAATATAGCATGCAATTAATATTGCTTACATAACGAATACAATAATTGCATCATGTTGGCCGGCAGAATTGCCAAAAACTACTCAAACCCTTATACTGATACCTTGGGAATTCCAGTACATTTCACAACATTAAAGTTACCATTTTACATAGCGTTAACTAGCATTACACAAATACATTTATAAACTTACATCATCAGCTTTAAAGAATAGCTTGTAGTTTGTAACAAAGAGACTTCCTCTWACAGGACCACTGAAGGGGCACAAATAAGTCACATCCTTGGCTGTTGAGGAAGGTCAAAACACACTTCTTGGATTTAAATTGCATAATTTACAATTTTCTTATTTACACTGTTCTTAACCCTTACTTTCTATAGTACATTATCAAAATGTATTTACCAGAAGCTTGGGCTTTTTCTCCTTTTATAAGTGGTAATTCTCCAGAGTGGCTTGAATCCTGAAAAATATTGTCATAAATCACTTTTATTAAATGCAAAAACTACTACTTTCAAGACAGTGTCCTAAAACCCACTCCACTTGTAAGCAACAAGAGCTGAAAAAGAGTTAAATATTTATTTACCTTTCCATCATCATCTGCCATTGTTGATAGTGCTAAACCTTCTGCTTTGTTAAGTTGGGATTGCAGTTTCTTTGTTTCCATCACCAAACACAAATRCAACAGCCCTGAAAATAATAACAATTTTATCATTTTTCCATTTTTAGGGCAGGGGAGGGAGTTATTAGGCAACAAATATTGATAATGTTTACGAAAGACAATGACAACAATGCTTTAAAGTAACTATCTACTGTAACAGTGTAAAGACAAAGACAAACACATAAAAATACATATTTAATAGAATATAATATATATAATATTATAATAATTATGTATACTGTACATATATATAGCAAGAATCTATAAGTATCAATTATGTGCTTTGGCAAACAATAATGCTCAAACTTGTCTAATGCAAGTGTACTTAGCTGAAGAAAAAAGGCATTTCACTCAGAAAATATTAAGACGAATAAAAGTGGTGCTTTCACAACATTTTGGAATTCCTATAAATTTTGCTTTTTTTTCTAACCTGATTAACTTCTAGTGAATTCCGGCAGCCAACAAAAAGGAACATGTCTAGACATTAATTTGAGACACATCATACACTGCCCTTCCCCAAGTCAATCACTTTGATAAGATGATTGAAATGATTTTTTTACCMCATTAATTTTGTGAATTTTCTTGTGCTTTCTGATTGGTCTAGAGCCGGGGGAGATAGGAGGACATACCAATAAATTACATCAGCAAATCACACACGCATGAGTAGTGGAGCCAATCAGAAAACAGCAAAAAAACAATAGCCTTTCAACATATCTTTTTATTCCCATGAAAAAATGACGGTTTACAGTCATGATGCCCCCTTGTCATGACGCCCCCATGTATACCATGATGCCCCCAGTCTGTACTACCATGACGCCCCCAGCATAAACCATGACGATGGCTATCAGGGTAAAATTACAATTCTTGTGCAGTCTAGGTTTCTGATTGGCTCCGATCCACTACCCAAAGTTGGAATGTATTGTCTTCCATTCTACATTTTAATTGATTCTCTTGTCTAATCTTGTCTAACTGGTGTAAGTGGACCCGGTTACAGTAGTTGCAGTGTAACTTTGGGAATGACTTTGACTGAATATCAGTTATTGTGACTTTTGATTTTCTTTTACAAAATATTAGTTATCTTATTATAAGCACAAAAACCTAACTTATAAATATATATWTTTTATCATATCATTGATTTCTACCCATTCTCAGTTTTGGCCCAGTCACATAGGCTTGAGCCAGTTTACAACAATGTTTTTGGGACTGATTGTATATCCAAGCGACTGTTTCTTGGTTTTTGATTTTAAACTTGTTAGTTATAGAATTGTAAAAAGCACTGAATTTGTTTGCCATTTTTTCATTTTCCTGTTACCAACTCCAATTCCAACTCCAACATGGAATGAAAACCATCAGAGAGATCAATCAACACAGTAATTTTGCTTCCTGTGAGCCTCTTTCCTCCTTCTCTCACTTCCCAGAGCTTAAGATAACAGCCAGACATTGGAAAATGTCTGCACAGAATTGGAACAGTTAAATCTTTGTCTTTGTTTTTGACAAGTAACGTTGAGCCAGAAATGAGGTATGACCAAGCTAAATCTAATTTGGCCAGCCATCATGACTGCCAACTTACTGGCCGTTATTTTAAGCCCTGCTTCACAACCACCACTACCACCACCTCTTACAATCCAATAATATCTTCAGTAACCTAACTATTAAACTGAAAAAGCAAATGACATGAATGGTAATAAGGAAGTTATCATTCTGGTATATTATAGAGGGATGGCACCCACATTTATAGCATCTGTTCAATCAATCAATCAATCATCCTTATTTATACACAATAATGCCAACAGAATAACTGGTTTAAATGATGGTTGTGAATATATATAACTAAGACAAGTAACTAAGATATAATATCAATGTATAATATCGAATATTAATAAAATAATAATATCAAAAAAACTAGAGGTAAGGTCAGAGCTTGCTAGTTGAGATGAAATCTGCTAAAACAGCATTTTTGAAAGATGTAAAACTTGCTTGATTTCTAGCAGTATGAGGAAAATTGTTCAATAGTTTAGCATATGTTAGCTGAAACGGTTTAGCTTGTACCAAAGCTACGAAGTATTTTGCCTGCATTATGAGACATGCATAAATGAAACCAACCTACTGCAAAACAATACTTTACATGCTTATAAACTAATACCGCACAATCCATGAAATCATGACATTTAGATTTTTGTCGTTTCGTGAGTGGAAAAGAACAAATTTTGGCTGTATTTAATGTTACTTAAAATAAAAAGCAAATTTGGAAGTTTGATTTGCTGAGGCRTTTAGTTTTCGTTTGGTAGGAAGTTAAAAGATCATCAACTACTGAGTTGCATCGATACTGCCTGTATGTATATGATATTTCTGACACTTTTTGACCCTTTTTCTATCAAATTCTATAACAGAAAGTAAGACAAATAATAATAACGTACCCTAGATTTTGTTATTTTATGTAGGAAAACCTTGAGATTCTGTGATCTTGTCAGGCAATGATTCCATCACACACAGAGAAACGACATCTTGTTTTCAGTTGCACTCGAAAGTGCAAGAGAGAGACTGGTGCTAAATATGCAAAGCATCTCGCCCGAGGCCACGCCCGGTTACTTTTCATGAAAAAAATAACATCACGAAAACTTGCCGCCAGGAAACAACTATCCATTTCCTAAGATAATTAGTAATACAAACCGCGTTGGGAATAATCAATCAAGAATTCGAATTATTTGGGTCAATTTGAGGGGGTAAAAAATTAAGGATTTTATAGGATAGATATCATTAAAMGATCTGACCGCGCATCCGGTATGACGTCTGTAGAGCCTGGACGCTAGTGTTTGGGACGCCATAACGAGGCTATATTCTCAACGATGGCGACAGCTGAGACGCCAAATGTGAGTACTTACTCTGAATTTGCTGCTTATTTTCAACCTTTTTCCTATATTTTAACCATTATTTACCCCTCAGTAATTTAGTTCATTTATTTTTCTAAATTCCTAGCTATAACTAGTGTGTATTCTAGGGCGGGCGCATTTGGTTTGAACTCAACAAAATTTAGCCKCTCGAACAATAGATTGACATCAAAAACAATAAATGGCGGGTTTGAGTTTGCCTGACAGAAACTAGGTCTCATAAGCTCTTACAATAGGCTAGTTTTTCAGTGAATTGACCTCAAATAATTTTCGTTGGGCTCTCGAATATTCCTTATAGAATTTTTTAGTCATATTTAAGGCCGTACAGGGGGTGGCAAAGACTACACTACAATTTTGTGGAGAGTATTTGTTTACATACATTGTAATAAATCAGGATGATAGAGCCAGGTTAGAACATTTTTATTTTAGTTTAAAAAGAGGAGACACATGGAAAACAAAAGCTAAAAAATATTTAAATATTATTTAAGTCTACAATTCAGATATTTCACTAGTTGTTTTAAAGTTATGAAAAGATTAGTCAAGTTTTTTTAATCATAAACTGTGTTCTATAGAACTATCGCTTGGGGAAAAAACACGATTAGAACAAATTAATTTTGAAAAAAAATTCGTCACTAGAGGAGCAGCTGCTTTAGCCTGGCATATAACTCATACTAAAATCCTAAGAGGTGACTTATCCGCAAATTATTTTATTGGAACAAACAGTTAAAATGCTGAATTTGATTAATTGTATATACTAAAAAAATGAACTTTTTGGAACTACTTTCATAGTTTTTACCAACAAAATGTTATGGACTTGGAATTTTAAATTGCTTATTATTTAGTAGTTTGCTCTTTTTTTATTAAAATATGTGGTTATGTGGGTACTTTGAAGTCTCTTTTCCCCATTAGATCGAGTATTTGTCATTTTGACCAATTTATTCAAGCCATATGTGCTAAGGATATAGCATCTACATTTTATGGATATAGCATCTACACTTTCATAGAAATATGATTTCTTGTAGAACTGTAGATTACATATAATTTTCTTGTATCATTTGAACTGTATGGAGTTTGAAAATAAGATGTTTTTGGATTAAAGGTATGAACAAGTTTTTTTTAAAGCTAAACTAATTAAAACAAATTTAGTGTAAAGATAAGTTTTGAATTTTATTAGCATCATTATCTGATCTGTCTAGTAAAAAATACATTTTTGACATCTTTTCCACTAATCKATATTTTTGAAGTCTATATATTTTACTTGAAAGTGAACTGGAATATAGTTATTGTTGAGCTGTTTCTGTTATAAAAATGTTGCAMTGAGGCTCATTGTCTTCTGTTTATTTTTTTGATTTTATAATGAGGAAAAATATAYGATCCATAAAATACCCTTATCAGGTTTATGCACGAACCTACAAGTTTCAGGAATAAGGAAATTAGCATCTTTTGTTTCTATACTTCAAATATAGTTTAAGGTATATGGTTATTATTAAGTACATCTCATTTCTTCTCAAGTTTTGAAATATTATTTGCCTGAATAGAATTTCTCGAAAATTTGCATATTTGAGGGAAAGAGAAGTTTATTATGATTTATTATTCTAAGTTTAATGACCAAAATTGTCTTAACAAATGACAGCAGATTTTTTCTCTATTGGTTAAAGGGTGCTTTTAGTTGGGTTTGCTTTAGGCAATTCTACCCACAGTTCTTTAATAAAATATTGTTAAGTATGTAAGAGGATCATATTATGTTATAATTATTTTGTTATTTTAAAAATCATGATGATGATGATGATTTTTTATCACATTTGTTGGTAGTATTTTCTCATTAATCACCCATCTGTGTGTCTACTAAACAGAACAAATTATTCCTATTTTTATTGGTCTGTAAAATTAACAAAATTTAATAATAGTATGTATGTATGATTGTGAGTACTTACTTTCTTTTATCTATTTGAAACAAGTGTAATTCATATTTTTAAAGATTTTTGCTGTACAATGTTTCTTAAGATTATCAATTGTGTGACTGTGTAGATATTTTTTGAAATTGTAATTTTAGTTTATTAAAATATTCAATGATATTTGATATTAAATATTAAATAATTTAAAAAATATTAAATAATATTAAAAAAATTTTTTACTGCATTGTAGCTATAATAAACACAGATGATGTAACCCTTATCATAATGAAATATATTATTTGGCTTCATTTTTTTCTTATTAAGTGAAAAGTGTTTTATATTTTCCCAGTTTATAACAAGTATAACAGGAAGTAGAGCAGACATTTAGCTTTCCATTATAATTACCTAGTTATCATCTGGTAGTTGTTCATATGGCATGCATATGTTTATTTGTTCAGAGTATTAATTATAAAATTTACCAATGTAATAAATGACATTTTTGAATTATTAACTGTAACACATATTAATATTTGATTGATATCTAATATGTAGATATTATATTCTTATATTTAGATATATTACTGTTAGCAATTAATTTTATTATTTATTAGATCTAAAATATTCATTCATCCTATTAACTTTCATCCAGTTAACTTGCGTGCTTATTTATCCACTTATTTATCTATTTCTTTATATATATTTATTTGTTTACTTAAATTGTTTCATAGAACTTAGTGTAGGTCATTTCAGTTGGTTTAAGTTAAAATTTGACACGGTTTCATTGTATTCATTGGGAACATGTATTTAAATTCTAAAATCTAAAATCTACAAAGCTTTCGCTGTTGTATCACAGCGTGGGACAATCACAACAGAGCTAGGCTCCAAGCTAGGTGAAAGCCAAAAGATCGAATTAGAATTTGGTTAGTTGATTTTTGAGGAGGGGGGAAAACCGGAGAACCTGGAGAAAAACCCTCGAAGCACCAACAAACCAGAGMACCAACAAACAACTCTTCTCACATTGAGATCGGCAGGACTGGAACTCGGGCYGCATTGGCGAGAGGCACCGCATTAGCAGCGCACGCCACCGGCGCTTTCCAATACATTCGTTAAAAGTCAATATCTAGACACTGATCTAGCATCAAGTCAGTACCATARAAGTGAGAGTTACATATGGAGAATGGAGGCTATAAGCCTCAAGATATATTTAGCAATTATTTGCCAAAGGTGAAGTGAATATCAGGGAATATTTACCGAGACGCGAGTCTTCGAGTGAAACTTTCATTTACTTTCATTTTTTTCAATTTCCTACAAAACAATTATAAGGAGGGGAAATAATTCTCCTTAAAAATTCAAGATTTATATCTTAATTTATCAAACTCATTAATAATTCATGAGGAAAACACAACAGAAATCACCACCGTGAAGAGTTTTGTAAATCAGATACAGAATCATGTTCGTTTGCATAAACTTTAACTTGGATTTTCTTGGGCAGATTCACATTTATCTTGAAAATTTTAGTGAAAAACACGAAAGAACTAACCTAGAAGTTTGATAAGCAAYATACTGTCAATATTCATGTCCGTGTTGTATCCAATATAAAACACCCTTGGCCATGCCTCGAGTTCGTATRTCAGATACAACATGGCTTGAGACAGCCGAGAGTTTGTATATTGGATACAACACGGCCACTCATACTGTATATATTACATACAGGGTAGACCTGCCACTTTAGGACTATATTTAGATATAAACCTAGTAACATATTTTTCAGGTTTATATCCAAGATACAAACTGTGGTCCATGAAAAATCATCATCATCATCATCATTATTATCATTATCATCATCATTATTATTATTTTAAGAATTGTTATTATTATCATCATTATCATCACGAACTCGGCATTATGGATTGACGTCTTTCAAATGGGCTTTTGTTAATCAAGTTCAAAAAAGCTTTTGACCTGGTAGATCAAAGTACAGTATTCTCATTTTCAAGCTCAGCTCTTCTCCCTCCACTGTTAAGTGGATTAATTCTTATCTCACTGACCAAACACAACACACTGCCTTTAAGGATACATTATCTGACCCTCTACCAGTATCGTTAAATATTCGACTTCATTATATTGCTTCTGATGTGTCTACTTGGGCTAATTTTAATAAAATGGCTCTTAACACTACTAAAACTAAGTCTCTCATGATTAATACACACAATAAACTTCACTTAACATTGTTGTTAATGGCAATTTAATTGAAAAGGTCCAACATGCTAAACTACTTAGCATTACTCTTGATTGTCACCTTACATGGGAGAAACACATTGACGATATATGTTCAATTGTAAAGAGCAGGCTGTCACTATTACAAAGAATTGAGCCATTCCTCTCCCACTACTGCGCTTTGCGCTTCTACATGTATAACTCATGTATTCATAATCATTTCATCTASTGTTGGAGCACCTTGGGAAATAGTTCTCATTCTTCATTATCTAGTCTCCTTCGGCTTCAAAAACATGCARCATGTATGATCCTTGACACTGACTTCTCACAACCATCTGTCAACCTATTTACCAAGCTTAAATGGCTACCAATTTCTGACTTAATCAAACTAAGAAAGCTTCWTTTATTGTTTTGTATCCTTAATAATCCTGATTCTCTCCTTTGTCTTAAGCGTATGTTCAATTCTAATTCTGGCATGCATACATTTTTTCATTGTGCTGCAACATATATGTACATATATGTATACATAACATATATGTACATATATATACTCTTTTTAATTGCCTTGATTCTGATCTCAAGCAACAGGTCTGTCAATCACTCTCTACTATCTTTTTTTTTTAAGGAAATTTTAAGCTTTAAACTACATCTATAAGAAGTGAAATTTAATGCGGATTCCAAATATGAAAAGAAAAATGGGGTGTCCCAAGCTTGTTTTCAAGATAATTAGCATTTATTGGATGCCTATGCGCAAGTTTTTGAAGCAAAAAATGTTATTTTCATGTGTTAGAAAAATAAACTTTTCTAAAAAACTGATACAATGTATATTTTTAGGATTTTTTWAAAATAACCTCATGAAAAGTATAAAGTTCCTGTTTAAAAAATTGAGGGTTTTGACCTTGTGTAGTTCAAAATGTGTATGATTCTTCAATAAAAAACRTTCAATTAGTAGCCAGTCACCCTTAGTCAATCACCATGTCTGAAGTGAATTTCCATAGAGTACAGTATGTCTTTTCCATTGGTAATAGGCCCTTTGCTGTTAATGGCCAAGTGTCTATTGGAGAGCAAGATTTTTGTTTTWRTTTTAAATTGGTGATTCGTTTTAGCTACTTGTAAAGAACAGAATTAAACAATGTGTAACAAGTGTGTTTTTAAAAGCAGTTTTATCATGATCTCTCAAAACAGGTTGTAGAAAGTGTGTTTGCTGACACCAGTAAAATGTTCATTTATTTGCTCACAGCGTACTAATCAGCACATGATGAGCTGCAAAGGGCYGATTAGGCTATCACTGATTTTGTTTTTTATTTTATTTTTATTTTTTTAGTACATTTAATACTTTCAAACAACACAAATAATAAAATGTAATAATTAATACATATGATACTAACACAAAAACTAAGACTATCACTGAGTTAAATATCATGATTGACTTGACTTAAATTAGTAAGGAACGTACACCAAAAAAGAATATTTTCAATTTAGGGAAAAAATCAGCTTTAGATTTATTGACTACTCTCTTTTATGTTCAGCATAATATAATCAGTAATATCATCACCTTCCATTCGTTATTATTATTAATATCATTTTATTTATTGTCATGATTATTAAAAGCCATTCCTAAGAGGGCTTATTGTTGCCATGGTTTAATGTATCAAAACTTAGAAACTATTATGATATCTTTTGTCTGTGTTTAACCACTACTAATGCTGGCTATTATATATTATCATATCTCTCAAACCCACAAAAGATTTAGGATTGATGAATCATTTTGGTAATTGGAAGGGTTTTTTTTGTTTTTTTTAGTCTTTTCTAAATACATACAATTATGCTTTTAACTTAACAATTTCTGTATCAATGAATTATTCTAAATCCTACATGTCTCAAGAAGGGCTTGTCTCATCTGTTACATATATAATGAGCTAAAATCGTTATCTGTACCATGCTATCATGCAATGTAGACTTATACTCATGATGCCTTCCATTCTCCTGAAACTATTTTAATTTTCAAAATATTTCAGAAGTTTCTCAAATGAGCTAAATAGTCCTAAAACATTTGATATTTTATTCAAAGGTTTTTCTTGGTTTATTTAGGTTTCCTGTGACTAGTTAATACATCTACCTCAAATAGTCCAGTTATATGGTCCACTGGAACAGTAGTAAGGAGCTAGCTTAAAGGTAAAAATTGTGTACTTGAATCAGGATTACGTTCTTCTTAAATGTGGTAAATGTTCAAAAGCCTTGTTTATCCAGGTTTTAGGCTTTTCAAACAACATTTAAACCTATACTTTGCCCCCTGATCATTTGAATATGTTTGACACATTTTGTTTGTCTTTCCTGAATCAAAGATTCAATGACATTTAGTTTTATACTTTGTATCTACTCAGATGGAATCTATTAATAAAAAATCTTGAAATTTCAGTGAGGTTGTCTTAAAAACAAAAGATACACAATTTTTTAGGTATTTTTACTAAGGAACAAAGAAGGTCCTGCTTACTGTTTTTGATAGACGGCAATGTTTTTCTTTTTTTCTCTAGACTTYATTTTCAACAGGCTAGTAATAGAATTGATGTAATCGTGAGGAAAAAATGTCATAGCTACTACAAAAATTCACTTTTTATATTATTTAAATCTTGCATGACYACTTTTCATTTACAAAACCATTAGTAGGGTTAATAATGGTAAGTACAGTATCTTATCTTCCATGGAAACCTAGCACATGTCAGGTGTTAAAAAATATAATATATGATTTGGTGATCCAAATAATGTTCTATAAAATTACTTCATGAATTTTAAAACTGTGTTTCTTTTAAAGCTTTAGGGCTACAATCTTACTTCTATGACATGTCCATTAGTAGATCCATATATTCCTTTTGTTTAAATGTATACTGTAGATATCATTATTTATATTATTTTCCCAGGTGAAGTGCTATTTAAACACATTTTTTGTCTTTTATTTCTAAGCACTATAAATTTGGTGTATGAAATATCAGACAGATTTCATTGTGCTTTATCATTAAAATTTAGAGATCTACAGTATGCCTATGATGTATGAATATGACAAAAATTATATGGTACATCATATTTTATTTATTAGCTACATGTATTCTGTTTGTAAGGAATTATTATTATTATCAAAAATAACATTCATTAAATCATTACAAGAAATTCCAAAAATAAAGGCTCATTAAAGACCTGTAAACGTTTCAAATTATTTTTTTACAAACTTAAATGATTTATATTTTTTACATCCTTCTTACATTAAAATAAAATTCGAATGAAGCATAGCATTTAATGGGAATCTTTAGATTATTTTATCATATTGTGAGGTTCAATTCTCCTTAAGGTTTTTGACATCCAGCTGAGAGGTAATGGCATATGCGCATATATTACCAGTTGAATAAAAGTATTTTGTATGATAAGAGATGGTCATAAAGAAATATTGACAATTCATAACATTTACATAATCAGGAAAACAGTTTCCATAGTGTTTTACGACAAACACCATGAGTAAAATACATTTCTAGAATTCTATAACTTTGTGGGAATTATTCTCTGGAATCTTGTTTATCTATTCTGCATTCATCTGTGACAGGAAAACCTTGAGTGTACTGTTGTTTAAACAATTACCTTAAGATCTTTTAAAATTTCTTTCATTTTGGCTATGATGGTTTACCATATTTAAGCTTAATTTGCTTTCCTTCAAAGCTAWCATGAAATAGAAAAAAAGGTTTGTGTGCTGCATTTTGTAATATAATTGTTTTTATTTTATTTTACAACATTTTTTCTAATATTATTTTAGGTATAYATTGTAATTTATTCATTTCAGAAATATTAAATATTTTGTTTTATTTTAAAATTTAAAGTGTAGTCTGGTATATTTCTTTGGCCTTTTTGACTTTAGATTTTTTGTACAAAATAATGATTAAGAGCCCAGTATTGCATTATTGAATTGTGAAAGATAGTACTGGTACGTGAAATTTCAAAACACTAGATTGYATTCAATATTACAGCCTCTGACATCCTCAAACAATATTTTCCTAGTACTATAACTTCATCAGCAAATTATTTAAAGTTAAAAAAAAGAAGTAACACTCGTTTGTTTATTGACTTGTGCTTAGATAATAATCAAGAAGCCTTAGGGGATGCATTATACAAGAAGAGGAAAGAAAGTAAATTATTACAATTCCTAATTCTAAAGAGCAACATCTGCCAATATGGATGATTCCCAAACTCAGCAAACAATATCACATCCTCTAGAAGATGCTTCTATTAAGGTAAAGTGTGTGTGTGTGTGTGTGCATAGCTGTTGTATTCCATTTCTAATTCAACTTGGGCTAACACAATGTGTAATATAATATAATACACTATGTTAAATGCAATAAGATCCATTTACCAAAGTGTATAATTTGTGGCCCGTGGTTTGGAACAGATTATCAAATCTCTGAATTTAGACAGAAAACATTTAAATTGCCAACATTTGTAAACTTAATTCAAAATGAACCATAAAAACAACTCCAATGTTTTCTCTTGTTAATGCATTAATAATGGGCAAATGTTTTCAAAACAGAGCTATTGTAGAATCTGATTGAAGCACAAAATGGTATTGTAACCAACATAAAAATGTTCTTCAATTTAAAACTCTGTTTTAAGTAAGTTACAATATTTCATCAGTAGATTCTATTTTGCCCCTAATGTTTCTCATATTAGTAGAAATAAACTCTTTGAAAAAAAAGTAAAAAAAAGTAAAAAATGAATTTTAATCAGCTAACCTTCAAATGATAAGTATATTATATATTTTAGATTATAGCTGATACACACTGTATATGATTATATTATATACATGTATGTTATCATTGTATATATTATTTTATTTCGTTTTTGTCAAACTTCTTGGGATTGACTGTTTATATGATACAGTCAATCCCAAGAAGGTTGACCAAAAGGAAAGAATTGTTTTTTTCATTCAAATTATTTTTTCCCCTTTTCTTTTTACGTTTTGGCTGTTTTTGCTATCCTTCAATCATACCAAGTCACAGGAAAGCTAGCCATATTGCCAATTGCATTGTTTGTGCGCATGATCAGAGTATTATTTGCAGAAAAATGGATTTGCATATTGCGCATGAGGAGAATATTTTTGTAAGTAGTAATTGCAGTTGTTTTGTCCAATAAAAATGACAGAAAAAATAATTTGAAAGCTAAACCAATAAATGTATATATAACTGTCACATTAGCAACAATCAGGATTCATTTTTGTTAGAATGATTAATCTCAATTTAAAAAATAAAAGTTGAACCTAGGGCAAGGTTTCTGGCATCATCAGGATGCAGTATTATGGCAAAAAATATGTTTGTCAAACTTTAATTAGTTATGACATCAGCACTTTTATTCATTTATCTTAGCCTTAGGTTTGAAGCCACATACACACGGTTTTAGTCCAGACAATTTGTCATTAGTATTTTTCCTTGTATTTTGCTCAAGTGTCTTAGTAATATTAATAATATAATAAGTATTAATGATAATATTTCCTAGGTTGAGCTTTTTGATGTATAAATATTCATATTGATATCAAAATTTATTTAAAACCAAATAGTTTTTGGTTTAAGTTTTTTTATTTAAAACCATGTCTTATTATAAATACTGGTAATAACATATGTCTAAACATTACTTTTATTTAACTTCAACAAACGAACAAAAAACATCTTAAACTGGATCATGTAGTCTTCTTTTAGCAGTGCAGCTCAAATTTGACCAAACAATTTCTTGGGAGAGTAAGATTCTAGTAGTTAATGTTTTGTCTTCTAATTACACTGTCTTTGAAGGCAGCTCGACCCCCTTACCTGTTTCGGCAGACAAAAAGGTTTAGCTTTAGGTTTTAGTTGCCTGTCAATCGATAAGACTGTGCTTAAAATGAGTGATTAAATTTTTGTGGAAAAATGAAGCAAATATGAAATAAATATGCAAAAATATGCATAGGGAGAATTTTAACAATTTTTAAGTGCTAAGAAAAAATTCAAGATTTTCAGAGTTGCACTATATACAGTTGGCCTTAGAAATGCTGTTGAACAGTTGGATTGACAAGTAACTAAAACCAATTTTTTTATATGCAGAAAATTAATATTGATCAGTGAGTCGAGCTTCAAAGAAAATGAGTGTTAACTGAACTGCATTCAATAATATACTGCAGCAGGGGGTCTTTTGCCTATGAGGGAGAATGTTGATTTGTGGTCAAAAAGAACATAAAATGCTTTTTTACAAACTTTCCACCACTAAAATTGAWTTAACAAATATTAAGATACAAAAAAAATAATAATTAGAATAGAAAACATAAATAGATGATAGAGCTGATATCCCGGGGGGGGGGGGGGTACTCTTGCCCGTTTAGGGTAGGGATGTGCCGCTGAGCCCACTGAACCCTGACCCTGTTCCAGAGTAAAACTGCTGAAATTCATACCCTGTTCCAGAGCAAGATCGCTGAAAATACTAACCTATTCCAGTAAATTGCGAAAATGGATAYCCTGTTCCAGGGAGGAGAGAGCGTGATTTCATATACCCTGTCCCAGAGCAAGCGGAATTTTATATGCCCTGTTCCAGAATAGAATCACTGAAAACCATACCCTCCCCTCCCCCTGGGGCTGATATAGGCTCCAATTTGGTGCACCCAAGTAAAACCAATTTAAAATAACTTATAACCATACTAAATACAATTTGATTTTAATGTTATTCAGYCTGAAGGTGACAAGGGACAAGACCATACAGCTTTACAGTATAATGAAGATAATGTGGATATGTATCAACCAACTACAGCTTCACTAGAGGGATCCTCTGTAATAGAAGCACAAAGTCATCTCATTGAACCATCTTCTGAATCTCTCAGAAACCCTGAGATGGATAAACAGGAATCTACTCCTGAGAAGCAGTCATCAAATGATGTGAGTTGTCTCTCATCATTCAAATACATTACTTTTTTAGTTTCTAATAATCCACTTGAACATGACATGTCATTGTATTGAGAAGTTGAAGTTAAAAAGATATCCAATCCCTATTGCAATATAGGAGTCTCTCTAGGAACACTGAAAATAATTTTCGAAATATTCAAGCTCCGATTTTGGGGTTTGGATTTTGGCATTCCCAGACAGAGCAGAAAAACGACAAGGCTGCTACTTTCACAATTATTTTCTTTCTCTCTCCTTTATGCTAAAAAACGTTTAGTGTTTCATTCTTGTCTCCTGTGCTTTAAACTTTTTACAAATTTTGCTAACCTCGAGCAATTCTACTTTGAGGTATTAGCGAAAATGTTAGTTTCTGTGCTGATCAAAATATCATCTCTCCCAACGTTCAGGACGTTATATCTCAAATACGCATTCCTTAAATTTCCCCAAATTTTGGTATCTTGTTAATCAGCCCCAAAAGAGCCTGTTTATGAAATATAAAGCTTATTAACGCATAAATGTCGAAAGTAGAACCCGTTTTTCTGCCCTGTCACATTCCCAGGGATATAGTATCTTCCTAACAGTCCTTCCACAGTTTCTATTGAATAGCACATTGTTCTTGGAAGCTATTAAAAATGCTTCAGTCCATTTGCGCTTAGACCAAGAAGCTTCACTAGCCAGGATCCTCAATTAATTTTTGTTAAATTAAAGTCACCACGAACGGAAACAATGAAAACAGTTTTTAGGTACTTTTTCACAATGGAAGTGAAGATATATAAGTCTCTGTGGACCTATAGTCAGGAGATGCAGAACTTAATGTAAATACCTACCAAATGAAGYGAGCAATATGGCATCTTACTGAAGTAAACTTAAGTGCCTTTATTTAACGAGGGTAACAAATGACAGTATGAAATAAACAACTGYTGACCCAGTGACCTTCAAAGTGATAGACATTGTTAATTCTTTTTCACTTAGGAGCAAGTTACAGACAAACCACCTGATGAAAAAACAGAGGAATCCGCTGAACCAAAGGAGAAACCCTTACCAGAGAACATGGGTAGGTTCAACTTTTATTTCTATTAATTCATGTGAGATGAGTTAATTTTGACTCTTGTGAGATATTAGCCTTTCCTCAAGTTGTAGAAGTGCATTGCATTATGAGAATGTTTTGAGGAATACTTGATCAATCAGCTGATACACTGTATTTTATRCATCAAGAAACAAATTAAGAAATTAAGATTTGATACAACAATTAAAGAATCCTAGTCAACTACGATGCATTGTGCCCGTATATTATTGTTTACAACATTCTTGGAGCTTTTTTRTGCACTGGTGGATCAAAAGTGCAAATTCGCCATGCCAAGGTCTTCAAATACCCAAGTTTCCTCCCTGTCATTTCACAGTAAGTAGGTTGAATTTTTCAGAGAGATTCTCTTTGAGACATTATAACTTTTCAGTTGTCCAACTGTGAGACATTCGACACTTTCAAAATCTACAAATCTAGATTCGTTGCCAAAAATTAAAAAATCTCATGGAGAGCATAAAATGACTACATATCATTATTTTATGATTAGCTTAAAACGCCTAGCAGGAATAACAAGACTGATGGAACTGGATTTTCCAAACTTACACCATTCACCAGCATTTTTGATTCAGGCATGCAATGCACTATACTTGACTAGGATTCTTTAAGGTTTCACGAGTATCTCTTTTCACTATCGGCAAGTGAAAAAGATGCCAAGTATTAAAGCTTGTAGTTAAAGTTTATAGTTTGATTCAAATTCACATTCAAGTACAGTATGCTTGTGGTAAACTGTTCAATTGATAATGGTAATAATTTATTCATCAAAGTCAGCTGGTAATCAGCAAAGTACTTAACACTCTTATATTGCCTGACTGATAATAAATCCACACCAGTGATCATCTCAATGTCATTGTCAACTGCAATAATATGGTTGCAATAAGGTTAAAATTTACTTTATCTCACAATATACTTAGCATAAGTAATTATTATACTAATAAATTGCATTCTTCTCAGCATTTGTATCGAGGCAAGACTAATACATCTAGTTACTATGTACGATCACAGTAGACTTTTTTTTTTTTTTTWAACTTTTTAGCAAAATGTGAGTTTTGTAGTCACATTGGTGTAAGAGAATCTTTCTTCTCAAAATCAAAACGATTCTGTAAAATGGAGTGTGCTAAAAGATATTCTGCATCAAACATTAAAAAGAAAGCCAAAGACAAAATAGGAACTACTAAGAAAAAACACAAACCCTCGTCAAGTGCTTCAACCAGAAGTACTACAGCAAATGTATCAGCAACTGCTGCTGCTGCTGCTAAGGGAACACCAAGAGAGGAAGATGTTGCCATGGATACCACAAGTCAACAAGTGTCTACACAGAAGGTATTCTAATGTTTTTAGGTTGCTAGCAGTTTTTTTGTTTGTTTGTTTTTGTTTGTTTGTTTTGTATAGTTATTTATCATTAAGCAAATATTTCTTTTTGTTTGCTTGGCCAGTGGTCAATAGTTTGGACATGCAGTGTCATTTTAATATATATCAAACAAATGAACAAAAACAGTAAATTATCAGTTTCTTGAAGTTTCTTTCTGCTTGCTTGTTTTTCTTAAAAAAGACCATTTCTATGCTAGTCATTTCAACATTATGGGTTTCAAATGTGTCTTTTTACTAAATATTGAGGTATTCTTTTCATTTCGGTATTCATTTGACATAATCACTTGACCTGTTAGTGCAAATGGTCTATTAAAAGAAAGAAAACTAGAGACTATTAACTGCAGGTGCTTTGCCATTATATTCATACTGTAAACTAAAGTTCTCTGCTACTGTAGCATCTACAGGGACCAGGAAGTTTACTTGGACAAGGACGAGAAGGTATATTGCTTTGCTTATTGTTTGATACATTCAAGACTTTTGTGTAGTTTAAAAGTAGTGCCCGCACACTAAAAGTTTTACACTTCAGTCCTACTAAAATGTAGTCCCTTTAACATTTGAAGAAGAAGAAAATGCTAACTTATATTGCCTACRTTTCTGCAAACTTTAAGGCTGCTTCAACCTAAATAGAGATATTGGGCATCTAAACTCCTTAGAACCAGCACCTAATAAAAGAACATGTATAGGGATATTTCATTTTATTCTCATMCTCATTAATAATTCATGAATAAACCAGCCAATCAATGGGCTATTTTTGGGTCACATGATGTTACTTGAAACCTGGTAAAGTGCTGTGAAAGGAATGCATTGAGTCTGGAGTAACTGGGACAAAATTAATTCAGTACTAGGACTGAATTAATTTTGTTCCAGTTACTCCAAGTCGAATAATTAATGAGATGAGAAGTCATTTCAAAGCCTCCAATATCGGACTGGACGGATTTCAAGTCCGTGCAATTAGTTCCAGTCCTCATTGTCGGCTTTGAAATATTACTTCTTACATGAAATTTTTTGTTGTCACTACTTTACTATCCTGTGGGCTGTGATTTTTTAACCACTATAGATCTCTCCTCTGATTGGTTGAGAACTTTCAGCTAGAGCAGATATTACATTTATCATGGTTTTCCTAATGTACTAATGATAATGATTGGTGTTGACTTTATAATGCCTTATCTTGATAGTGGGTGAGAGCTGGCAAAACAAAACTTTTGATTGGTCCGACTATCTCAAAAAAACTGGTGCTAAACCTGTTCCAGCTTTTATGTTCAAACATGTAAGTACTAAATAATATTCACTTATATTGTAATATTATTCTGCTATTATAAGACCGTTCCATTCCATGATAATTATACCCCCCAGCATCCAGTTGTTGAATATGTCCAGTTTGTCTTCATGTTATACTCTTGACTAGACCATACCTTTAGGGTTTTTATTTGCTATGTGATTCAGCATTTGAATATTGCTCTAATTTGAAAGTACTCTTATTTAATTCATTAATGTGGTGCTTACTGATGGAATTGTTTAAATAGGTATGCATGAATCCCTGCTTGAAAGGGGTCCATGTTGGCATGAAGGTAGAAGTAGTCAACTGTGGCATGGATGTGGTTGATGACAGTGAAGTGGCTTTCTGGGTAGCGACAGTCATGCTGTTGAGACAACACCGGGTCTTGCTCCGCTATGAAGGATATGAAGATGATGAAACGGCTGATTTCTGGTTTGACTTAAGGTCACCAAATATTCATCCTGTAGGGTGGTGTGCAAAAAGAAACAAGTTGTTAATACCTCCACCAGGTAAAACAAAACTAACCCTCCCCTTCCATTCCACATGTTGGTCCCCCATTCAACATATGTTAGTAACCTTAAGATTTGCAATATCTACAGCAGCAACATCAACCAGAAGTGTAAGTAACTTTAATTTTGGGTTTCGTGCCTTCAAAGTCTGTCTTCCCTGTGGATGAAAATTGACTTTACTGTCAAAGATTTGAATGAAATCTCCAATGAAAAGAACCCCAAAGAGAAATTATTTACAGTCTTCAGGTTGACCTTGCCATCATAGACTTTGCAAATCTTAAGTCCCCTATTTGTATAGGTAATTTGTAGACTCAGTAGAATATCTGTGTAAGGAAAAACGAAAGTGGTAATTTTCATTGAAAGCTTATCTGTTTCAATGATCAAGTAAAATCACTACTAAGCATGGTACATCGTTTTCCTTATAGCCATAAGAGACAGGTGCAGTAATTGGAGAGATTATTTATTTAAGTGTTTATCTGGTGCCAAGACATTTTCAGCAGAGTTTCTTCAACAGGTTAGTCATGTTACTTACAACATGTATACATGTACTTGTGTTTGTTGTGTAGCAAATACATATCTATTCTGCGTTCATCTTCAGTCCTTAGTACATTTTTTCTCTTTTAATATTGGCCTATTTTTCTTAATAAAGATACACAGTAGCATGAATGGCTGTCCTTTTTAAGTTCTGTTATATATTCTTTTCTTTGGGAGATTTAATTCATTCTAACGAATTTTACAGCTATTTCTACACTAAACCATGGGTTATTGCATGTGGAAATGCTAAAAATCTTGCATTTTCAAGAAATATTGATAAAAGATTAAAGTGAAAGATATTTTCGTCAATAAAAAGGTTTAGTCAAAACTCTTATGATTGAAATATTTTTTGTCCAATCTTATAGATTGTTGACAGAACGAAAAACTGGCAATCCAAATCCCCCATCCCACCACCCAAAAAAATAATAATAAWAAAGAATAATGTGTAGTTCCAGAAATAATTACCCATACCCATCCCCGAAATTTCCGGGGGTGGTGGGTCTTTTTCCTCTGTAGGGTTGGGGGAGGGGGGAATGGATAATTTCTGGAACTACACAATTTTTTTTAACATCGATGGAGAGAAAATCGATGGAGAGAATAAAGAGTGAAATGTTTTCTCTTATTTTCGTTTCCATGTCATAGCTTCAAGACCAGCCATTTAACCGTTTTCAAAAAGGCATGAAGGTAGAAGTAGCAGACCGGAAGAATATGTATTCAATGTGTGTAGCTACAATAGTAGATGTCATCGGTGACCGGTTAAGACTGCGCTATGATGGTTTAGAACCTGACGTAGCTGAAGACTTCTGGTGTCATTATCAGTCCTCTGAGATTCACCCTATTGGATGGTCATCTCTTGTTGGTCATACTCTACAACCCCCTATCGGTAAGAAATTACCATCACTAAAAACAGCACAAATCACTAAAATCCTAGTTAGTGACTATTCAATTAGAACAGGGGCATGTAAAGGATTTTCCGACGAGGGGGGGGGGGGGAGAGCAAATTCAAAAATCCGCTATTTTGTTTGAGCCCCCGTGGCGCAAAAAAAACATTAAAAAACTATATTACCTCCATTTCGTTGTCACAACGGGGGGGGGGGGCTCCCCTTGGCCACCCCACTGTCTACGCCCATGTAGAATTAACAGCATTTTCTTTTTGAATAGAAATTTGCATGGGAAAATTGGTAGCTTTTTAAAAATCCTTCACTATACCTCCAAATAAATAGTACCTACTCGGAGTGAATTATGCTTCCAAAATTCGAATATTTTGATCACATTTTTAAAGTGTTGGTAAGATATAGTAAATAAAACGTTCACACTTTGAAGATAATGTTGCTAGATTGAATTATTCAAGGGATTTTATTGGTGCATTTTGTTTTAGGATGGAAACATAGTCTGAGTAAATGGAATGAATTTCTTGCCGAAGATTTAGCTAATTCTGTTGATGCTCCTCAAGAATTTTTCGTCCAGGTATTAATACTGATGAATGATGATCAATGATGTTGAGAGCCTGTTTGTATTGTAGGTACTTGTGAGACACAAAACTAGTACGGCATTTCGTGACTAAGTCTTTATGTAAATATTAGAGTGTGTGACGAAATGTTCATGTAACCAGATAGTAGTTTTGTAACCAGAGATATAGATAGGGATATATTCTTACACACATGTACTGAGCATAGATCTCAAAGAAAGAAGCAGTAAATATAAGTTCCAGCAAAAACGTGTCAACTATTGGTTCGAACGGGATCAAAAGTACCGTGTGTAACATACTCATCATGAAATATAACAATGATGGTTATTACTATGATGGTTGTTAATGATGAGTGGGAGGGGAAGGATCGCGGCTTCCATTCGCATATTTGTTTGTACTTGTTTGAAGGAAGCTTCCCTCTCACCACTGCCACCCGGGTTTGATTCACAGACTCGGTGTCGTATGTGAATTATTTTGTTATTGATTCCCTCCTTTGCTTTGGATTTTTCTCTGGTTTCTCCGGTTTTCCTCCCTCCACAGAAATCAACATTCCTAAATTCCAGTTAGATCTAAGGAGTTATTGTTTGTCTGTGCTTGTTCTTTTTTTAGTTTGTTTTTGTATTATGATATGGTGACAATGAATGAGATGATGCTGATGATACGGTGATGTCTATATTATGATCGTGATGATATTTATTGATATTCCAGGACTCTACGGGCACGGCGCCAGGTCCTCATCAGTTCAAAGTCGGCATGAAATTCGAAGCTATCGACCCGTTCAACCCAAGCCACATCGTAGTTGTGACAGTTATCAAAGTTCTTCGATTCAACTACTTTGTTCTTGGCGTAGACTCGCTGGCAACGTACTTTGTGTGTCACGCAAACAGCAGAAACATTTTCCCTTGTGGCTGGGCCAAATCACAGTCGCTCCCTTTGACTCCCCCTAGAGGTACTGTCATATTATTCACTTAAGTGTTCATGTACTTATTACAGTAGAATCCGGTTATACTCCGCCAGAAAGGCTCTAACCTCAAGCCGCTTTGCATCAAAGCGTCGCTTGTAAAATCATTGACAATAAAATCTGTCTAAACTTGACTAAACCTTGAAAGCTTTATTTCTTTGATTACCAGGAATCTTGACTGAGATTAAAATCAAATTAAACGTGGATATTTTAAACTCGAAATGGATAAACCCAAACTATAACCAAAATAAATCAATCATTATACTGCTAAAGTTTTCTGTTTTTGATGGACTTAAAAGCTTATAAAACGGCAATTAAACCACTAAAGCCAGTCTAAATCGTCTGGTCAACATGAAAGTAAGTATTTAAATAACCATTGTACGTTTTGATCGTTATAACCTGGTTCCGCTGTAGTCGTAGTTCCTTATCTGACAGATTCTTGACTCCCCTGATTAGTTTGGCGTTCGCCTTTTGTTTCAGATTACACCCCAGAGACATTCAACTGGCCTGAGTATTTAGAGAAAACAGGAGGAATTGAAGCCCCGGTTGATCTCTTTAAACAGGTGCGCAATATTAAAGGCCTTATTCCTATATAATCCCCCTTAGAAGGGTTAAACGAAACTTAGGGTAATAGCAAAAAGAGAATAACAGAGGGGCCGTTTAATCAGTCAGTAAACTGCTAGGGCTCAGATCAATCGTCCAACTTCACATAAGCCGACCCTAATTGACCTAATTCACTATGACGTCACTGCTTTATGTCGGGGATAGAATCGCCAAATCCAATAGAAAATTCAACTAAATTTGCTCCTAGTGAAACAGTTTAATCTAAAATGGCCTGGTTTTCAGATATAATATGTGTTAATATACGTACTAAAAAGTATTATGAGCGTTTGCTGGCTATTCTACTTCTCTTCGTGGATTGATACGGGTTTTAGAACAATTTTCGGTGAAATTGCGTTGATTTGACCCCCTCCGACGACCATGATCCTTTGCGTTTAAACAATAGATTGTTGAATATTGTTTTGATGTGACGTTATAGTGAAGTAGGGCAATTGAAACAATGACTAACAAGGCGGTCTTCTATAATGTCATTAGGTTTGGCTAATGTGAAGTTCGACGCTTAACCTTAATCTAACAGTCTCAGGCTTTATTTGTCTTGGTCCCTGATCCCTGGTGTATTATTGATCATTTTGTCATAATTCCAAGTGAGGGTCTGTCTGTCTGTMTGGCTGTATGGCTGTATGGCTGGCTGACTGGCTACACCTTTTTTTAAATTAAACCATGGAATATAGTGCTTGAACGATCTACGTGATTTAACTTAACGTTCCTACCAACTTATATAATCCACAGGAAAGACGAATGAATGGTTTTCGAAAAGGAATGAAACTAGAAGCAGTAGATCTTCGAGAACCTGCACTCGTATGCCCCGCTACTGTAACCGATGTTAAAGGCCCACTACTAAGGATACACTTTGACGGTTGGGACGATTCTTACGACCAGCTAGTCGATATGGACTCCTTAGATCACTTTCCTGTCAGTTACTGTCTGTCTGTCGGACATCCACTACAGCCGCCTGGGTTAGTGATATGTTTCTGTTCCATTAACGGAAAAGAATTTTGATTCGCTTATCCTGTACAATAGAAGACTTGCGCTAACATATCAGGTGACCTTGCCTCCCTTAAAACGAGCAGCTGTGTCAAAATGAACATCAGGAATGAAAAGAGCACCTCGGTATTAGTAGGGTGGCGGAGATTTAGCTCATAACAAGCGAAAAAGGAGAAATGGCATTTAATATAAAACATCCATTGCGCTTTGATGTTTTTAACTATTTCTTTGTGTTTTTCTAGTCCCATGCCTGATAAGTACGTAGAGCGGTACGGACCAGAACTCGAAGGCGTTAAACAAGCGCCTAAAAGAAAGTCGCCAACCATGGAGGATAAAGGACAGAAAAAGAAATGTATGTGCCTTATGTTTTCAGATATGGATTTAAACACTCTTGAAATTCACGAGTTGCGTTYTCTTCGTTGTAGCAGTAGTAGTTGTAGTACTGTAGTAGTAGGTGCTATTGGTGTAGTAGTTGTTTTAATAGTATGTAGTAGTAGGTGCAGGAGTAAACGTTGTTGGTACAGTTGTTGCAAAAGTATTAGTTGTAGTTGTAGTAGAATTATATAGTAGTTGTTGTCGTAATAGTAGTAGTAGTTGTTGTTGTTGCTGCTGCTGCTCTTGTTGTTGCTGTTGTTTTAAGTGGTAGTTGTTGTTGTCATAAAAGTATTAGTATTTGTTGTTGTTTTTTGTTGTTGTTGATACTGTTGTGACTGTTGTCGTAATGCAAATACGTGTTGTTCTTTCCATTCCGCGCATTTGAAGGGTACTAGTATCTTTTTTACTTTCTACAGCTAAAAGTATTTATCCTCAAGAGACTGTGTACTTTAACCGTAAGTGTTTTCCCGGACCTTATTTAAACCGTGATCTGGTCAAGAGTTTACCAGAGTCTGCACGAGGAGCAGTAGTTGGASCCGAGAAACATAACGTTATGAGGATGTGTATGCAAAGCTTAGTGTCGTCGGCTGTCAACCCCAAGCAGGTGAGCACATAGAAACTATTAACGTTATCTTGATAATAGCTGCAGGGAAAAGGGCACTGGTTGTCTTATCCATGCAAACCTTTGATCACATCTAGACCCCATGTGCTCTAGACCCCATGTGCTCTAGCTGTATCTGCACCCATCTGACGGACTTCACTGAACTTATGTTATTCATCAAGCCCTTGATCATCCTCTTTACCCTTTTTTAATTGGGACTATCAATGATTGTCGTTCATTTAATCTCTCTTCTCAGGTTCTAGAGTTATTCAGCCGAGAATTCTATCAGAACAAAAAGAATAAAGACCTTCATTTAGGAGGCACTGTGTGTATAGAGATGAAAAGTAAAAATGGCAAACGAATCATGCGAAGAGTTCGGGTTGCAAATAAAGCAGAACATCTATTCGCTTATTTGCACCGGGTGTGTCAAGTACTACACTGCTGTCCTGAGATCGTTAGCTCCACGCGTTACCCCATGGGCTATTGTAGTCCGTTATGTATGAGCAGATGTAAGTAGAATCTCTTTTTTGGCACAGTATGTTTTACTTTAGGATGCCTGTGCTCACCAGCTGTAGAAATCTGCAACAAATGCAGATCGCGTCAAAAAAGCTGATACAAATGGCCAGAGTGAACCGTCGTTATTTGTTYCGATAAAAAACAGCTTGATTAGCAGTGACATAATAACCCTAGCCTTTTACAGCGAAAGAGTCACACGCGACCAAATGAGACCTAAATCACGAAAGAAAAATTGAGTTTTGGTGGACGTCAATCAAAAGGGTTTCTTWAAAATGTCTAAGGATTCCGACTCCGAATTTCAAACACTTAACTGCAAAGCTATGGATATTGAATTACCTGATCTTGAAGGCACTCAAATCATAGTCAATACCGATAGCTTTGCAGTCAAGCGTTTGAGATTCGGAGCCGAAATCCTGTGACATTTTTGAGAAAAAATATATCCAGAGCGAGAAAATCRCAGCGACAAAAAGCATGTGATAAGGGCAACGCTATTTGCAATTGTCCCTGTGTTATACGAGGAACCGTGCCTCACGAATGGTGAGGAGGGACATTTAGTCTAATCGTCCCTCATAATTATATTCATGAGGGTAGGTTTAGTCTCATCTTCCCTTATGTTTAAATTCATGAGAGATATTTAAAATAAATGTCCCGCCTCACTATTCATTCAGAGGGATGTTGGCGATTAAACGTCCATCCGGAGACAATGGTGTCTTTCCTCTCGGCCTCCTCTAATGAATTCGAAGTAACACGCTTAATTTTATGAACAGCTAAAGAAAATGGCGTCTCTTCGACAAGTGATGGTCGCCTTCAAGATGATATGAACACGGAAACAAAACCGGATGACGAAGAAGACAAAAACACTGAACCCACAGAAGAACAGTCTGCAGAAACTGAAGGGGAGGTTTTGTCTCTTCCGGTCAAGGCAGAAGGGAAAGATTCGCCTCATGAAGCAATGGTGACATCAACGAGTAACCTACCTGGTTCACAAGAACAAGAATCAGATGCAGCATCTGTATTATTATACCAGAGTTGTAATAACGGGAAAGACCCTCGTACATGGAATATGCAAGACGTTGCCAACTTTATGTTATCTATAGGTTGCTCAAACTACGCCGAAGCCTTTATCAAAGAGGTACATATATGCTATTGGTTCATTGTTTGATATTGTATACATTGAAATATTCAGTTGGTTCCTTTCCTTTCATTTGCAATACTTTCCTTTCCTCCCTCCTTTCTTCCATTCCTCTTATGCATTCTCTATATCTTCGTGGCATATTCAGTTGGTCTCTTCCCTTTCATTTGCAATTCTTTCCTTTCCTCCCTCCCATCTTCCATTCCTCTAATGCATTATTTCTTTCACTATTTTCCTTAACTTTTGCCTTTATCTCTGCAGGAAATCGATGGCAAAGCACTGTTATTACTCACACAAGAAATGCTAGAATCACTGACCGAAAACAAGCTAGGCCCGATGACTAAAATACACAACGCTGTACGAGCACTCAAGCAATCATGGGGTATCTAATAACAATAACCACTTTAATCATATGACCTCTAAACGCCATATGATTGGTAGATCAACTACCAATCATTCTTCGTTATTATTATAATTTGAATTTTGCATGAAATATTCACAACCGTCTAAAAGTCCTCTTTACCAAGTTAAAGGGTACATCTGTATCGAAGACAAACTCACCATAAGKCTCCCTTCTACATGGAAGAGAGAACTTGATACATTATTCATCCATATTTTAGATACCTGTTAGGATTCATTTCTGCTGTACGCTTACACTACCATGTCAAACCACGCCCTCACTTACACCACAACAAACAAACAATGAATATTTTAAACTAAAAATGCTTCCATCCTTTATTGTTGACGTTCTAATAACGATATAATAATCACTATATTTGTATCATAGAATCAGTATTTCGTGGAGATAGGTGTTTATTTGATAGTCATAGTAATTAGTTATTGATTAAGACTTAAGATGATAGATTAGTTGAATAAAGTATCTCTCCACGGAACCTGGTCATTTTCCTCAGTAGCAGTAGCAAATATTACAACAGCTTTCCAACAGACATCTAGAGATATATAATGTTTCTTTGCTAGTGAGCCTTCTCTCGTCCTCGTTTGGGCCACTGCATTTAGTTTTTAACGCCTGGTTGAGAACCTCAGGAAAAAAAGCAAAAAACATCTGAAAATCGTGGGTTAAGTTTGGGTGGTGCTTTTCTATGGCTTAAATGTATTATGGAAATCCTGAAGATGATAAGATGAACATTCTCAACTGGGAGGTTATAATTAAATTCACTGGTCCACGTTTTGCATTTTTTTTGTTTTTTTTTTGTTTTTTTTTTTTTTTTTTTTTTTTTTTTTTTTTTTGTTGTGCATAGGTACAGCAGTATGGTATTTCTCTTTATGCCATACAGTATTTCCTGCGTGATTTGTGTAGGGAATGAGACATATTGTTTGTTGTACAGAGTAGAAGCAGAATCGAATCTAACAAAAGCTTGCGCGATGTGTTCCATTCAAAAGATTTTTTCCTTCCAAGTCACCAGCAGTATGTACGTTCGTTCACGACGATAACTACAAACTGCATAATCTGTATGAGTGAGTAGGTTTTGCATCTTGAACAATTGAAGCTATTGAAAAGAAAAAAAGCTTGTACCTTTTATCATGCAATACCTACTTTCTGATTGGAAGAGGGACTAATTGAATTTGTCAATTGCTATGCGATGTTCTTATCCATACAAAAGTGTTTTGAGAGTCAGGCCACCTGACATTACTTTGCCATATACTTATTTCAATAAAGTTAGACACCAAAAACCTATAAAGCTGCGACTGCTGAGGATCATGGGAAACATTTCATATCCAACAAGTAAACCTTTCGATACAAACTGCAACTTGAGGATGCTCACAGGACATGAGAGTGGAACTTGTAATCGATCTTAAGTCTATCAATAGTAGCGGTTAAAACATTTAAACTTTTTCTACCCATAGTCGTTGCCGGTATCAGTTTTTGAGGTGACTATAAACTTTATTGAAATAAGTATATATCCTCGTAAACTTAACAAGTTGTTGCCATGCATAAACCATTGAGTTCAATCACAAGCATTTGTATTAGCATAGCATACTCGACAATAATCACTGTTTGGTACGAGTGGAAAATTGTCTATGCTCGTTGCTCATGCTTGTGCTTGCATCGTTAGCGAACACCGAGAATCGACACCACAATATTTCTAAAGTAACGCATTGCTTAGTCAAAAAAGAACTTATATATARTTATATTGGTATATATATCTATATAAGATGCTATCGGCCCTAAARCCAGCACACCTCTAAAGTATATGGTAAACATCATACAGTCAATGTCAATATATCATACAACGACAAAGTGTCATTAAAAGTGACAAAAACGTGAAAAAGCGTGAAAAAACGTGACATCCAATAGACCCTTTGCATGTGACGTCAAAGCATCTTAATTTGAAGGACAAAAGAATTTTAATATTATAAGAATTGGAATCCTATTGTTATGTCCTCCAAATTAAGCAGCTTTCCGACGTGCTGCAAGAGGTCTATAACCCTCACGTGGCAAGCAATTGTGTCACACAACATCATTAACTTGTCACGTAATAGATCGCGTTTATCATTTATGGTTATGTTTATTGTCAATTTACGTAGAAGTTGACGTAAGCCCTAATTTGAGCTGTCTTTTTATCTCCATCGCCCTTGAGAAAAGTGTCTCCAATATTGCAGTGCTGTTCTATTTATTAATGTAATTTAATTCAATTCCTCGACTTGTAAAGACCTCCAAATAATAAAAGGTGTATAGTGATATATTCAGGTTGTTATTCGATAAATGTCTTGTTCCTATGCCAGGCCTCTCCTATGTAAGGCCCTGGCTAAACGAGGAAACATGTTTCCCTAAATGTTTCCTAAGGTGGCAAAACTGTCACGAAACATCAGGAAATAATGTTTCCATGCGTCTTGGAAACATGAAATGTTTCTGCCGCACAGCAAAAACATTTTTTGCTTCTTGGAAGCAAAATTTGTTGCACGCAGCGATGTTTCGCATGTGACTAAACTGGGAAACATCAAGAAAACATAAGCGCGGTAAACATGCATTTTTCTGGAAACATGTTTCCTTGTTTAGCCGGGGCCTAATGACCTTTCTCGATAATAACTTGGATGCAAGGCTAACATGAAAATACAAAAGAAATCACACAAATTTCAAATGCTTACTATTTATTTCGTTATTTTCTAGAGCTCTGTGAAAATGGGGACGATCACTTGTCAGTAAAATATAAAATATTTTTACAGCTTTACATGTTTACGCTGTTTGTGCGATTTTACCGTAAAAGGGGTGAAATTTCAGGCATTCTGACAGCTAAACAAAGTCGGTGAAACCCATTTTTTTATTTTTACTGGGTTACCTGTGGTATCAGTCGTAAAATGCCTTTGCTTTTTTTTTGGATTTTTTTTTTTTTTTTTCTCCGCGACAAAATGACAAAGTTGCGCAATAATACCCAGTATGCATTTCGGCTTCGGTAAAAGAGGTTCCTGATTGGTTCGGCCTTAGATGCCATAGCAACTCATTCCGTAATACTATTGACGCTGTCATATTTTTTATTTTACTTCTAGTATGAAGTACTTTCATTATGCACATTTTTTTWAAATCTGACGATGGGATCTTTTGCCCTTAAAGAGGTAATGAAAATTGCAAAATTAATTTCCGATTCCTTTACTGATTTTTAATTTGATTAAGTTCCGCCCGAAATTACAGGCAACATTTAAACAGAAAAGAAGGTGCTGCCTTTGTAATTACATCTGCAAATGGTTAGGCCATTACGTGTCTCGGAGAACCACGTTAATGGTGGTCCCGTCCCTAAATAACTAGAGACGTTAAAAGAGGACCACGAGTTTATCAGTTGAATTACTATCGAGTATCATCCTCTATAAACCAAGTTAAATTATGTACATTTTAATGTACTGTTTTACATTTTTACAGTTTTTTAAGACGTTTAACATTTTGTGGCCCACCCCCCTTAGCTCTTTTTACCTCCCATTACTTTATGACGAGTCCCAGTCAGAAATACAAATTTTATTTGGAGTATTGCAACTAATCGTCGATACATAAACTTGGTTCCCAATAAATATGAATATATATAAATGTACAAATTAGTATGTGTATAAATAACACGATGATAAATATTGAATCCTAGGTGTATATATATATATTATGGAAGTATACCCTATGAATTATTATTATTATAAATAATAATAATAATTGTAATTATATCTTTATTTATCCTGATTTAAAAAACTGATCAGCTGGACACRATAGAACAGCTGGTATGAACCGGTGATCAGCAATCTATGAAAATCTAAATAAAATCTATACTAAAATCTGCGATTAAGAACCTAAAAGTATAAATATAAGAAAAGAGAAAATTAAGTATAATATATACATATATACACAGAAACACGAAAACCCCGCGCCCACAAAACCTATATATCTATTTTTAAAACACTTCTTAATCACTTATTTTTTCACTGCGTAAAGCAAAACAATAATGAACATGTTTTATTGCTTGTACTCGTAAATTGATTGAGCGGAGGGTCTATAATATCAAAAACAGTTGGTCCTCCGAAATGAAATTGATGGGGGTTTTTTTCAAAGATTTTGTGCCTAAACTTAAAAATAGAGGGTATTTGTCAAGGAACTGTCTTTCATTTTATACAGCGTCTGTGCAATGAAAACACTTCCTTTCCTCTACTCTTTTGTATCCTGAGTATCTGCCCTTTTCTATTTCTAGGTTAGGCTTTCCTTTAAAATGTTTCACCCTTGTCAAGTATCCGCCTCTAATGAATAAGTGACTTTAAAGAGGTGATATGTTCTTAATTTATTCTTTTGGCCAACAGTGTTTCCCGAGCCAATATTGTTCAGTTCTCTCTGTCTTCTAATCATTGCAGCAAAAGGAAAAATTTGGCCCTGTAGTGCTAAATCTTTGTCTAACCATATATTTTGCCCAACCCACTTCGTAATAATAGCTCTTTTACTTTTTGAGTCCAGCAGGTTTTGGGCTGAAATTTTTCATTTCTTGAAATATCGTTAAAATGAGTTTTATGGTTCAATGAAGGAGGACTAAATTGAGCCTTATATCTTAAATTTGCTGCTATGCTCAAAGAGTCGACCTAGTTCAGCGAGACAGGCAGAATTGCTTGCATATATTCCGTCCCAAAGCACTACATTTTGCAGAATTTTATGCGGTACAGATTCAATTGGATCGCATCTTTTCAGACCTCTTTAGGCCCATATGCTTTGTTACCAAATCTTGTGTTAACAAGGTTCTGGTTTTTGCATTACAGTTTCGTATACACTTATTTCAATAAAGTTAGTCACCAAAAAACCTAGAAAGCTGAGATCCCTGAGGATCATGGGAAACTTTTAATACCAAACAAGTAAAGCTTTTGATACAATTTGCAGCTTGAGGTTGCTCAGGAGAGGTGAGACTGTAACTGGTAAAAGATATAAAATCCATCAACAGTTATCAAGCGGTTGAAACATGTAAAATGTAACTACCCATAATCCTTGTTGGTCTCAGCTTTGTAGCTTTTCAGGTGACTAACTTTATTGAAATAGATGTATACAAAACAGACTGAGTATGGCTAGTCATCCATGCCCTTTACACGTTTTCAAAGCTTACCTTCTTTCTTGACCTACACCATGTCAACCGCCATCTTTTAGTTTGGCAGGTGATAGCCAGAACCCATATTCCACAAAATCAAGAATTGCCGACTTTCCTAACGATAAAAGCCCAGCTTATTGAGGTACCCGGTATTTCGGCGCGTTAATTCTCCTAGTAACCCGTCCCGGGGGTCGGTGGTAACATGGCAAATTTCACAGTTAGAGATACATGCATATAAGATGTATGATGATCAATTCTTGCGAAGGAAGACAGTTGACTAGAGGAATATTAGTCCTTATTTTATGTCTGTACTTCCTCTGTCTAGTTTCTGTCATCTTTTTAAGGATGTTGATCGCATGCCGGTGCCACTACAACAGATCTACAGCTAAACCTCGCAAGAATCTTTTTAAATTCATTTTTAAAGTCTCTATTGAGAACCCCATATATGAAGGGGTTGACGCAAGAGCTCATGGCTGCAAAAGCAGTAGACATCAGGTGAACCTTTCTGGGAAGAGACACTTTGTAAAAAGAGAGTAACCTGACACAGAAAACAGGCGTCCAACAAATCACAAAACCAATAACAACGGCGACTAGAATCATGGTAACCCGTGCTTCTTCTGGACTGAAGTGACTAGCTTGAGGACGTCTGGTAGAAGCATGGATATTTTTCCTTGTATTTTGCTTGTGTTTTCGAACTTTAGCAAAGACCATACTATAGCAGAATGTTATGATACTAAGCGGGATTACAGAGAATATGAGTGTTGCTGTTAATACGAGGACTTTGGACATTTCCTCTATTCTTATGAAACAATACAGTTCACCCGGGTAAAACATGGCTTTTTCCGAGAAAAAATAAACGCTTGGGAAAAAAAGAAAGAGGATCCACGTGAGGGTGATTACAAGCCGTACAGTTTGGATGTTGAAGCAGCGAGCAGGATGGACCACCTTGAGATATCTATAAATGGTTGCTTGTGTTAGAGTAACAAGAGAAATACTGGCAAAGGCAAGGATCATGTAGGCCTGAGCCTGACAGAGCAAGTCGGGGAATATCATACGCCCTGTTATCACTACTACCAGRCTAAATGGTGAGCAACAAAGCATCATAGCCACATCTGTGATGGCTAAAGAGACGATGAGATAATTGCAGGACGTGCGGAGAGCAGGGTTACGGCAGACGGCTAGACAAACCAGCACATTTCCTGAAAGCCAAACCAAGATTGACTAGTAAACTCTTTAATCTAGATGCCCAAATAACTTATCAACCGTGGGCTTGTATAAATTACTTTAGGAAAGATGTCTATTTCGGATTTCTACTGACCTGAAAAACCGAGAAATAACATGAGAAAGGCAATCGTTGATTCCAGTACTACAGCCATCAAGCTTCTATTAGCTAGCTCGCGAGCCAAACTACTATATGTAGTGTTACTTGGGTCCATATCAGTCTGCTGCATTGAACAACCGATTTTAATAAGTTGGCGTTCTTGTTAGGGATACATGTCAGATGCGCGACATTTATAACAACGTATTTTTCTCGCGTTACATGGCATTGCAATGTCCAAGATTAAATGACATTTCATTCATCCTTACAGCTCCGAGTTGACTTACCTCGAGTGAAAAGGTATTTGTAGCTTTGTTTAGTGAAACGATCAGGGCTACCTTCGGATTATAGTAGTGAAGCGATCTTGATACGATTTCTGATCCTGAATTGATTAAAACTCGGCTGCAGATGTTGCCGATGATATCGAAAGAGAAGCCAAGAGAGAAAAGGTAGCTAGTAGAGAGTTTAAGATTCTCGTTTACGGCAAACGTGAAACGTCAGTTGACCATTAAAAAATTCTTTATAATTAGTGAAAAGGAATCGCAAAAGTCTCCAAGTAGTAGTTAAACAAAAGAATACTTGTGTTTGTTGAGAAAGTTTGCAAAAGGTAAAGTGAAATATAGGGAAACGATGAAAACCTGGTCACGTTTGCCGTTTGCGGGAAGGAAAAACGGGAACTGATCTTAATCTGCCTAGTGTTTGTGTAAAGACTGTAAACCGGAACTATCCTAAACATGATTTCATGACTGACCTGATTAAATAAAGCAACCTCTCCTGTTTATTTCTGGTCTATTAAGACTCTATAAAGACTAAAAAATAGTAGACTTCATGTTGACTYCTCTTTTTCCTTTCACGATCAGCAACTTTGCATTCGCGCATCAAAACCTTGAAGTCAAATTAACCGTTCGTTCTCACACAAAAATTTCTGTAGAAACAAGTTGCTTTTCACTGACTGATAGCAAAAAGATATGACAAGCAATTGTTGACATAAAGTAAAGTTTTTCATTAGTTTTTAAAATTAAAATCTGATATATTCTAAGGACTGATCAAGCATTTTATTTGTTTCAATACATCTTTTCTATCTTTTGTACCATACTTTCTTTCATCCATCCATCGATTTATCCTTCTTTCATTAACTCCTTACTTTAAAGTTTCCTTTTCCTTCCAAGTCTCCAATATAAACCCATAATGACGGACCAAAATAACAATAAGTTATAACTGAAATAGTATATTTAGAAAAGGGAAAAAGTGATTTCACGTCCGAAAAGATATGAATTGGCATATATCATTAAGATGTTATTTAATATGAAACTTATCTTATGAGATTGAGATTGACAGCCAAATGAGATCTATTTTATATGCAGTAAAGTCTATAAATTTTTATAAATATTCTTATAAAGTCTATAAATTTTTATAATATTTCT